TAAAAGATTCTGTATGCAGTAGCACTTTATAAATGTGAAAAGGCTGTACCGATTAGAGTCGTGGGTAACACTGCCTATTGGATGGCTTGGAATCTAGTCGCTAAACTTCGGGCAGACAAGAGAAAGGTGCCTGGAGAAGGTTTACCAGGGCGTGTGCCCCGGGAGGGTGGAGGAAAGGGACAGAGCTCATTAAGGACTCGGGTACGGAAGAGGCATTGAACTCCATGCCATGCCCAGAGCTGGAGGGAGATAATAAAAGCCCTGGCGGAAGCTGAGGAAGAGTCAGATACCCGTTTGAGTTGTGTGCCTATTTTCCCAGGCTCCTCAGATCTGAGTGAATAATAGAATTACCCTGTTTAATGAAGCCCTCAGGTTCGGTTGACTCTGCCACTCTCCAGAATGAGCCGAGGGCCTCGGGAAGAGAAGTATAATTTATGCCAAGCTGTTGTTTTCCAGCCTTTTAAAACCTGAGCTCATGTTAGATAAATAGAAAAATCTCACGTCCCTCCTGGGGTCTTCACTCCCCCACTTGGGAAAATCAGTCTTTTTTATATACCCTCCAACCAGAAAGATTGTATAAATCTTTACTTTCTGTAAATTGTTGTAATAAAAATGATAGGCGTCCTACTGATGTTGTAAGATCAGATGGGCTTTTTTTAGTTTTACACACGCCTCTCCAGGAGTTCTGCTCCAAATGCTTTGTCACGCTCAGGAGAGTGGAATCTCTCTTAGATTTCATTCCAACACGAGGGGCTGAACGTCAACATGGACTGAGCCAAAGATTTTTGGCAAATGTTTCCTTCCTTACGGCTTACTTTCTGCGTTTGACTTTTGCAAACATTTAGCCTTTACATCATCCTATATATTTTTTCTTTTCATAGGCCTTTTCGATTCATTCGTGCATTCATTTAACAAATGTTAAATGATCTCCTATGTACCAGGCCTCGTGCTGAATAACAAGATCAAATGAAAGACAAGAGATAGTTTCCGCCCTTGAGGGATACGCAGCGTTGAGGAGGACACGGGAAAGAAAATCACTGATTAGGACGCATCACGATAAGAACTGGAAGGGAAGCAGGCCCAGCGGGGAGAGCGGCAGCTTGCTCCGCTGCTCATGTGACCCGCCCCGTCCACGCACTGATCGCCTGTGGAAGCAATAACAGAGAGGGAAACCAGCAGGTTTTCATTTCCGAATTCCGTGGTTCCCACGTCTCTTGCTTTAAGTGATCCCATATTAGAATTCAGTGTGCTTTGTTTTCCAGTAGCTATGGTCCTAGAGGAGTGGAACTGACATTTCACTGACCCATACACACAGACATCTGTCCATCAAGGATCTACTCGCTGTCACCTCTGGCCAGAGGAGCGATCATTTTCTTGAGGGTCTCAGGAAGAGGGAGCAAAGTCCATGCCCAATAGACTTAGGATGACGCCAACCAAAGTGTGACTAATCCTTTCATCTCAGGCACAGTCCAGTGGTCCTGAGTCACCTGCAGAAAAATGCCTGTCGATCATGAAGACAGATGCGATGACCAAACTTGGGTCCATCATTTATGAATAACTACAGCAAACGTAACACTTAAAGTAACTCAAGGCTAGAGAGGTGTGAGTGTGTGGAGAAGGAGAAGGCCACTTAAAAGGAGAGGGAACAGCATTATTTTCTTACTCAGTAAAGAGCATACGGGCAGCAGGTGAAGCCTCTGGATGCTGTTTATTTCTCTGTGACAAGACTCTCGAGCTCTTTGTTTAAGTAAGAACTCCATCCAAACCATAATACCCCATGCAAGCATAAGAAACAGGGAGCGTTAGTGATTTCCTCTGGTTTAAAAATGAAAAGGCGTGAGTATTTATGGCTTCTGGAGAACAGAAAGGAATTTCAATTTTGTTTCCACAGCAAAACGTTTTTAAGCCAGCCAATGAGAATTAGACTTTTTACAGGACTAGGGTGACTTTCACAGGATATAACATCAATTTCTAATGTCCAGGTGTTTTGCTAACAGTATTTTTATTATGCACAATGCCATATGCTTTTGCTCTGAAGCTGTAGGAGAAAAGGCAACATTTTCTCTGACTTATTTACAGAGGTTTTTTTCATCAGCACTTACAAAGGCCAAAAACTGTAATTCCATTGGTTACCACAAAGAAAAGGAGACAGGCCCAAGGAGTCCAAAACACAACTTGAAAAAGATGCAGAAGACAAATGGAAGATGGGACACACACGCTTTTGTCCCAACAATGCGGATGATGTTTTCTGAGGTCTCAGAAACAGAAGTTTATTTCTTTTTGACTTTTCATCGTATTTTAACATTTAATCAGCGAGTAGAACGTCAAATTGTCAATTAGAGGCTCTGAAGTCTGGTGCTGATTCCAGAATCAATTAATGAAGTGGACTTGGGCAAATAATTTCTCCTCTTTGAGCCTCACTGTGTCCACCTGTAAAACAAAGATAATGTTTATGACTCGTGGGGTTGCTTTCTCATCCTGAAATCCTTTGGCTAATTAGGTCAGAATGTATATACATGAATGAATAGAGATAGG